TGTGTGTGTGTGTGTGTGTGTGTGTGTGTGTGTGTGTGTGTGTGTGTTTGCAGGCTGACTTGCGAAGTGAACTGGGTGACCGGGGCTACCTGGCCTTTGGGGCCATCCTCTTCATATGGGAGCTGCTCCCGACCAGTCTGCTCATCCTCATCTTCAGAGTTCAGCGGCCGGCTCAAGAGGTAGTCGGCACAATCGGATTTAAAAAACCCCGTAGAAATGACACATGAAGCAGTGAAAGTCTTTTAAAGCTGTGTGTGTTTGTTGTTTTTTTACACAGACCAGCAGCATGGCCATCAACAACAGGGTCCTACCTCGTCCCTATTTCTTTGATGACCCTCAAGGCAGCGACGAAGATGCACCTGTTCCATGGGCACGCGGGTCACATCCACACTCGAGGTACTGTCATCACACAGGTGGAGCTGGAACCATTAGTCAGTCAACAGAAAGCTGCTCATCCGCTTTTCATATTTGATTAATGATTGAAGTTGGTTATCAAGGAAAATAAAATGCAAATGTTCCCGTTCGGCCCCAGCTTCTCCAATGTGATCCGTTGCTGTTTATTTCATGTAGGGCTGCAGATACACAATCATTTGTCGTTGATTGACCTGCAGATCACTTTCGCACTTAATGGATTCATCGTTATTTGACAAAAATAATTGAAAAATGACTCGTTTTGTTCCACCGGCAATCAAAAACTCAAAGGTATTCACGTCACTATGATAGAAACCGAAGAAACATAACACATTTTCGTATTTAAAAAAACTTGAAACGGAGAGATTTAGGGCGTTTTTGCTTAAAAAAATGTCTGAAATGGTTAATCAATTATCAAAGTTGGTGAAGATTATTTTCCTGTTGGATGACGTATCAATGAATGGTTTGAGCTCTAATTTAATATCATTGTAAATTGAGTATCTCTGGGTTTTGGGCTGTTGGGGAAACTGGGGCAAGCATTTTCCACTGATTTCTAACAATCTATAGACAAAACAAGTAACAGACTAATAGAGAAAATAGTTGGTAGATTAATCACTGATGAAAAAAAAAAAGGTCCTCCAGGGTGTCTGCAGGACAAATCATACAAGTTTTAAATTACACATCATGAGTGTAGGGCCTTAATACATCTAGAACAGACTAATAAAGTGTTCTCATGTGTGCTTCTTCTCACCGTTTCAGCTGGTACGGAGCGGAGACCGCTCCTCTCCTGTTTGCCAGCAACCCTCCAGACCAGAGCCACCAGCACCACTCGTTCTACTCCACCCCCCAGAACTGACCTCCACTTCCCACCACTATTGGGGGGGGGGGGGGGGGGGGGGGCAGCGTCCCCGAAAGACATTCATCTCAAGGGCAGACCGCACACAGCTGCCGCCCAGTAGTACCTCCCTCTGTGGACAGTTTTTGCACTGAAGACCTCAGGAATTCATCAACAAACAGTGAATATGCACCTTGTAGTTTTGGAACAGAGAATATATAGAATTTCTTTCTTTTCTTTTCTTGGCTGGAGAAGCCCCGACAGACAGAACATTGTGATCAGTGATCTTATAAACAATAGTGCGAGATTAAGTTACGTGTTAGCATATTTCAAATCCTTCATTGTCCTATTGTTGATTAATAAGATGAACTAGCTCTTACTATTCCCTAACAATTGCACATTTAGCTTCGTATGCATTCCTTGTCAGGAGAGTGCAGATCTCCGCCAGGTGGGTCTGAACCGACCGCTGTCGAGTTCAGTTAGCTGTGAGCCATACACACCTTCTCAAACAATAAAAGTGTGCAAACTATAATCCCCTCACTTCAGATCGTGGGCGCAGAGTAGCGACAGTTGACACTCAACTGTGTCATCACCAGTGGCCCCTACTGTTAAGAGCAGCGAGTGAGGAGTCAGCATGAGACGGGAAAACAAAAGGTGTTTTGAGAAAGTGTGAGTCGCCGCAACCACGAGAGGCCCTTGAGCTTGCAGCCATAACCGGCCACCCAAAATATTATGCATTATCCTGCAGCAGAATGCGAGGCAAGCCGTGGACAGACACAGAGGTGCACACTCACTCACAGACGCGCACGATCCTCCTGGCAGAGATAATTAATGCACATAATGTAGTTGATAAGCTTGCAGCATGTGATGCGCCTCGGAAACAACCACTGACAGTACCAATATGCAGTTTTGTGAAGGTCACATCCCTCTGATACTGTGTGAAGTCACTAAAATATATATAGTATCAACGGGTCACTTTTGGCATTCCGTTTCTTTAAGACCAGTCATGTCTTTTGGCACTTCTGATAAATAGTTCCACATCAGCAGGTTGTCTCTCTTCTAATCTCATCACTGCAGGTATTCACCTCATCGAGTTGTTTCCTTTAGGGCCGCTGTCTGCCATTTTGGTTTCTATGTCACTTTTGCGAAGTTTAATAATTTTTATTTTTAGAAGTCGCTTTTGATTTATTCCCTTTCTGTGCAATTGTATTTTGATGTACATTTAACTTATTTTATATGAAAAATCAAATGTGAGTTTCCTTTATATTCCTCACAGCAAGTCACTTATATTTATACCACATGATTGATATTTACTGTGTAAACAGCAACAACATTTGGTATTATGTGGAAAATAATTAGCTTGGTACTCTGAACATAAATCTGAAAGAACACGCATTTCAACAAAATAATGTTTCCAATAAATGAATGTACTCGGGTTGGAAGAAAGCATTTCTTTCCTATAACTAGCAAGAAATGCATAAGTCCAACAACTATAAAATTGCTTTTACAATAATAAAAGCAGATATGATAATCTGGATGGGATTTGGGTTTAGCCTTCTTGGCAAGAAAACATGACAATTCTTTCCAAAATATTTTTAGAAAATATGTCTAAAGATGAATACATATGCACATGAGTGATGATGAGTTTTAATTTTACAGCCCAATCTCTCATTCAAAGGCAACATTAAAAGCTCAGACACCTGAAGAGAAGTGTTCTATAGAATTAGTCTGTGAACATACACACCAGGGTACATGTTGTGCCACTGCCATTTCAGTCAAACAGTTTATTCTGCATTATGTACAGATCATCCTATTAAAACTCTTTATACAGTATGTACATATTCAAATCAATCAGTAGGATACAGCGACTGCAGTGGCGACAGAAGAGTGATGAAGGTTAAAGAACAAAAAAAAAAAGAGCCAAAGCAGCTCATCAACTTCCCTCCATTTGAATTCTCTGGATGAGACACCGATCCAGGTGCTGTGTAACATGTTGACCTCCTTTTATGCCGAAAAGGAAACTGAATTAAACTGAAATCAAAAGTGTGGGCAAAGACCTCACCGACAGTAAAACTACCAAACACATCCGAACATCGTCTCCATTACACCGACCAGATAAATGGGTTTGAAATTCCTCCTCCACCTGATTAAACCTACAAACACCTGCAGTACTCTTATTGCAGGAGTCATTCTGAAGGGGGGGGAAATAAAAAAAAATAACAGGAGTCGTGCTATTGCTTTCTGACACAGAAGCGGTCCAGGTAAGCAGTACCGATCATCGCATCTCCCGGTAGCCGGAGTCCTACTCGACGACGGTCGGGAACCTGAGCCTGTGGGAGGCGAGAGCCACGAGGAAGAGAGGCGATGAAGAACCAAAGTCAACCATCTATCAGCTCAGAGTTCCTGCCGGTCCAGAGCAACGTGTCCCGAGTCAGAGCACCAGCATCAGTTGTCAGGAGGGGGTGAGGACGACGACGAGGTCTCCAGCTTACGGAGGCGGCGGCGCCTCAGCTCGGCAGCATTGGGCTCTCCGTCCTCGTCCACCCCCCCGGCGGCGCCCGCCACTCCGTCGTCCAGCTCTTCTTTTGGCTCCGTGTCCGAGGCGGTGGAGGCAGAGTCAGCTGGCTGAGGGGAGGCTGCGGCTCCGTCCAGCTGCTCAGCTGGAAACGGAAAAAACTCATTTAAATCAAAATTATAAGTTTTTGTTTTTATGAATTGAAACAGCGTTTGTAGTTGATGTGAACTGTGAGTTTACTCACTGCTGGAAGTGCTGGTAGAGTCCTTCTCCTGGCTGGGGCTATCCGCGCTGCCGTCAGCTGCAGGAGGGGAAGCGGTGGCATCGTTCGTCCCGCCGGGTGCTGCTCTGGTGCCGCCCTCGGCCCTCGGTGGACTGTGGAGAACACAGCAGCAGAGGGTCAATGACGCGTTACTGTGAAAAGCATTAATAAGGCTGGCTGCGTTTAATGATTCGGTTCAACTAGAGGAGGCTCAGTTACGCGAGCGTGGTGACGGTGCTGAGGTAGTGGTGGATGTTGAGCATGGCGGCGTCCAGCAGGGTGTGGATGTTCTGGAGACACTGGAGCCGAGCCTCGAGGCCCCGCCGACCCTCCGCCTCCAGGTCCCTCAGCTCCTCCTCGGACAGCCGGGACAGAGAGGGGGGAGGAGGAGGCATGGACGACACTGGAGGAGAGGAGGAGGGGCATTAACACAAATATTTAAGTTCAGTATTAAAAAAAACCCCATCAGGTGATGTGACCTCAAGGGTTAAAGTGTTGCACATGCAGTGGGACTTTCACACACAGTGACCAGACAGAACGTTGCTATGGTAATGCTAAACACTTCCTTAAACAGAGGTGCGAAACAAAGAAGTGAGACAACGTTATCACCTCCATGACTCACCCACAGGCATTTCAAAATGTCTAATTATTTCTATTCATTGAGAAACGCACTTCCCCGTCTCTCTCGGTATCTATTGACAATAAGTGTCAAGTCACCAAGCGTACATCTGTTGTAGTCTGCAAGTACAGAGAGTCGGTGCTTACCGAAGGGAGGAGGGGGAGGCATGAGCCATGGCGCAGTGGGGAAGGGAGGAGGCGGGAAGGAGAAGGGGAAACCCGGGATTGCTGATCCTGGAGCTGCAGCGGCATCTGCGGTCGACGAGGTGGCCTGGCTGGAGCCTGGTGGAACAAACACACAGCATTTTGGCGAGATGTCATGTAATCCCAGAGAGAAAAAAAAATAATAATAAATTACAACAATATACATTAGCAAACAGCTTCAGACACTTTGGGATGGGATTTTCTTGTCCCCTCTTTGTGCTGTGGTAAACTGTGAGCGTCGTCCTTACCGGCGGCCTGTGTCGCCTCCGCGCTGCTCTGTGGCGCATCGCTGGCACCCGGAGCGGCAGCCGCTGCGGCAGGGGGAGGCACCGCAGGGAAGGGACCCCAGAAGGGGAAGACGCCGGGGGGGAAGCCAGGTAACATGCCTGGGGCCACTGGAGAGGAAACGGAACACAAGAGTCCAAAATATGCATTTACCAGAGGACGCTTAAAAATATGATTAGTGTGCTCTGCAAAGTGGTCAGCGTAATCTGACTCGTTAGTTAAGAAAAGCTGGACCAGGATGGTCTAATTTGTCTACAGAATTCCTTAAAATGTAGCTTAAAAAAAGATCCACAGAACAGGCTGTTCTCTGTGTTCATGAGCGCTGTTTTTTTGACTCTCACCGTTGGCGGGCGGGGCCGCGGGGGCGTTGGCGGGGGCCGCGGGTGCAGGGGGCGGGGCCTGGGCCGGGGCTGGAGTCTGATTGTTGTTGGATGCGCGGAGGACGTCCATGCGACAGGTCGGGCAGGTCTGCTGCCTCTGGAACCAGGAGCGTAGGCAGCTGTGGGGAGGAAAGGAGGCCAGCGACATTATTCAAAGTACCGCAACAACAAACGGCAACGTTTAAACACAAAGGGCTCGCAGAGGCTTCTGTGTAAAGTCATGTTTAGTTTGCTTCACTGACTGGTTTACTGTTTAAGTACGGGAACTGCGTGCGCCATCGGTTACTGTAGATGCTGACCATGTCCCGACGTCTACGTCGTTTTTTTTGCGGTCCAGCATCTTTCCTGCTGACCACAGGACTTACCTGGAGTGGAAAATGTGATTACAAGGCAGTTTCTTGGCTCCCGTCACCATTTCCTCTCGACAGATGATGCAGACGTTGTCAGAGGCCAGCAGATCTTCAGGAGTAGCATCGGGGTATCTGAACGCAGGCAAAGATAGGAAGAGCAGAAAACGTATAAGCTAAACTTTTATTCACACTTATACTATATATCTAAATGTATTGTCGGGTTTGTTAAAAGTTAACTAAGAGCTGGTCAGAGTTGCTGTGTAACAGTGTGCATGGTCTCCTGCAAACCTTTTAAAGATATTACTCTCATTTGCATGTGGGCTGTAGTCCATGCCATCAAACGATAATTAAAACCCAACTTGTATAAATTAATGAGAAAGACGCAGTGGGAAATAAGGATTTTTACTATTACGTCAGTGCAACCAGGAAAGTCTTAACATAATTGTGATGATTGTTGATTTTAGAAAGAAAATGAGGCGAAGACCCCCCCCCCCCCCCCATCACAAACACATCTCCACCTCTGGTGAATAAAGCTCGTCTGTCTCTAGGAAGCTTATGAAGGCAAAATTCCCTGCTGTACAGTGACAACAAATAACCGTGTAACTCACAGTGTGTTCATGTTGCGGATGGCTCTCCGAGACATTATAGCATCTGTTACGGCTTTCTTGAACTGCCTGAGAGGAGAAGAAGGAAAACAGCAAACTCAGAACATCTCAAATAAGAGTTCAAAATTGATGATAAATTCAGAGACATTTGTGCTAAACTTACAGTTTGGAATTAAGATTATATATCACAGTAGTGGAATTAACAACAACATACCCTCTGACCCAAACAAACAGGGGCACACAGCTGCTCACCTCATAGCCAGATACATGGGCCGGATGGCAAACAGGGGGAAGGTGTGGACCTTTATCATGATGGTCATGAAGGCGATGTACAGGATCACTTTGATGAAACCTGGGATAAAAACATCAACCGATGTTTGAGTATGTCCGCCATCTCTCTCTCTCACTCACACACACACACACACACACACACACACACACACACACACACACACCTGTGAAGAGCTCGGTGTAGAGCATGTAGACGGCCTTGTTGTCCCAGGGATTCTCACTCTGCAGGTCGACGGTGTGCAGAAGGTACTTGATGAAGGTCGTCAGCACCATGGTCATCAGGATGGCATACTGAGGGGCACACACAGAGGAGGTGAGCCAAAGTGTCCTTTGTTGTGTGTATATACAGCTGTGTGAAAAAGTGATTGCCCCCCTGTTAAAACATAAATTAACTGTGGTTTATCACATCCAAAGAAATTCAGGAACAAATGAGAAACAAATTAATTGAGATCTATCAGTCTGGAAAAGGTTACAAAGCCTTTTCTAAAGCTTTGGGACTCCAGCGAACCACAGTGAGAGCCATTATCCACAAATGGCGAAAACATGGAACAGTGGTGAACCTTCCCAGGAGTGGCCGGCCGACCAAAATTACCCCAAGAGCGCAGCGACGACTCATCCAAGAGGTCACAAAAGACCCCAGAACAACATCCAAAGAACTGCAGGCCTCACTTGCCTCAATTAAGGTCAGTGTTCATGACTCCACCATAAGAAAGAGACTGGGCAAAAATGGCCTGCATGGCAGAGTTCCAAGATGAAAACCACTGCTGAGCAAAAAGAACATAAAGGCTCGTCTCAGTTTTGCCAGAAAACATCTTGATGATCCCCAAGACTTTTGGGAAAATACTCTGTGGACTGACGAGAC